AAAATCTGTCGATAGTTTTCTTTCCTTTGAAAACGTAATATTACGTTCAAATTGGCCCCATTTAACTTGTTAAATGAAAAAGAGCTTTTTGTAACACACAATCGTCCACATTGAATATATGGAGTTAACTTTGACGGTTCTTTAATTTCAAATAAAAATTAAAAAAAAAATATTCAAAATCAATTTTTTGTGTTTAAATTTGATTTGTGCGTATGTCTGCTTCATGATATTAACGCATATGGTTTACTTAGAGACTTCAAAATGTTTAGTTCGTATGCACCATTTATCTCTGCGTACGATGAGACATGATGGACAATAACTAATTACCGCCTTGGCCTCTTTTTTGGCGGGCAGACATGCATAAAATGTTGATATTTTTTGATAGTTTTTAATTTTTAATATTTTTTAGAATACAAATTTTTTGAACATTGGCGTGTCAAATGAAAGCTTTTGGCTTTTTCTGATTGGCTGAAGCAGAAAGCTTTCTGATACAACTCTGCGCTGAACTGGTTTCAAACGAGTTAAATGATTTAACTGGTTCAGTTTCCAACAACAATTGCATGCGATTTAACTTGTTTACGAACACATTTGTTCATTTAACTGGTTCTAGCTCATTTAACATGTTTAAGTCGTCAATTTACTATAAAATTATCGTTCTCAATCAACACAAATACTTAACAAATTTTTTTCTTTGCTCAACAACCCTATCGCAGAATATGCAGCTGCGACTAGTCAGCCCACCATCGTTGCAGTTGGACAAGACAGAGCCACAATTTGTCAATATTTTATAACCATTGATGGCAAGAAGGTAAATGTTCCCAACAATTATAAATTCAGCCAAGTACTCGACCTGTATTTTAAAGCATTTTATGTATTTAATATAAAATTTGATGTAACTTTGGCGAACTTCTTGGGGTTGTTTGCCAAATTTATTTACAAAATCAACGATAATAAGAAGCCAAGTACTATGTTATTAGAGAACAAGTTTAAGGATTTAATGAAGTAAGTTTCATATTAATAAAAAATTGCAAAATTTTGCTTTTTATGTGGCAGGGAATTTGAAACCGTAACAAATTTTGTATTTCATTTAAAAAATGAACATTTTTTAGCGGAGGCTCACGGTTTAAAGTTAAGGTGTGTTTCCTCTAAAACATGTAAAAACGTATTTCATACATTTAAATCTATTATTAAATTAAGCTAGTATTTTTGTAATATAATTTTATGTTATTTCAAATAAAATGTATTTCTTAACAAAAAAATTATTTAGATTTTTATTTTCAGCACATAGTTTTCCACAATGTTCCAACAGGCAATCCTCATATTAAAAAACATCAAATTTTGTAAGAATTTCGGTTGAATTTCTCCTTAATTTTACGTGAAATGTGGTATGTTTTATTAACGGGGTTGTAAATTTGTTGAGCACTGTACGCTTTGAAAAAAACCTTTAAGGGTTTGCTTTCAATACCAACAATATACTAAATCTAATTCAACTTTGGTTTAGATTTAATTCCATAAACTATTAAATCTATTCCAATTATCAGATAGATCCAAAACTATTTAAATTACTTTTAATACGAACGATATACTAAATCTAGTCCAATTTTGGCTTTGATTTAATTCCAGAAAGTATCAAATATATTCCAATTTCCAAATAGATCCAAAACCCTTTCAGTTTTATTTTAAACCACCAAAAACTATAGACTTTAGACCCATGGTTTGTTTCTAAGAACAAAATCTTATTTGAATTAATTCCAAATATATTACACTATGTAACAAGGTATTTGTCACCGGGTTGTAATTGTTATTTCCTAGTCAGTTAGGTCCCAAAAGTATAGAAAACAGCTATTGTCGCAAGATAACTTTGCTTTCCTTTCTATGCCTGTGGGACAGCGGAAACGACAGTGCACACTACAGTAAGCGTGAATGGCCACAACGAACTGAATTCACAGTGGGGAGGAACAACGTCAAGTGGGAGCCCTTGGTGGACCCCCAGAAGGTACTGATGCCACCACTCCACATCAAACTGGGTCTTATAAAGCAATTCGTCAAAGCTCTCGACAAAAATTCTTCAGCGTTCAAGTACCTACAAGACTTGTTCCCTAAGCTCTCTGAGGCGAAAGTTACAGCCGGTATCTTCATTGGACCACAAATAAAGAAAATCTTCGAGTCTGAGGAATTCCCCAAGAAGCTCACTCGTGTTGAGAAAGCTGCTTGGATAAGTTTTATGTCAGTGGTACAGGGATTCCTAGGCAATCACAAAGCCGCAAACTACGTGGAGCTGGTCGAAAGTCTGGTGGAGAACTACGGCAAAATGGGCTGCAGGATGTCTCTCAAACTCCATATTCTGGATGCACATCTTGACAAATTCAAGGAGAACATGGGAGCATATTCAGAGGAGCAAGGCGAGCGCTTCCATCAGGATATAATGGAATTTGAGCGGCGATACCAAGGACAATACAATGAGAACATGATGGGAGATTACATTTGGGGATTGATTAGAGAAAGTGACTCGCAGTTTAAACGCAAATGTCGAAAAACCACCCGCTTCTGATTTACTTTTATGTTTTTGGTTTTCTGAAGTTTTAATAAAATTTAGTTTTGATATATATGTGCTGTTCTGTATGATTTTCTCTGTAGTGATTCAAACACGTTTTTCTCATAATTTTAGCATATTTTAATGAATCACATTGTCCTGGTCACAAAAGCAAAGTTTCCGAGGAATATTAGGTGGTTTCCATACTTTTAAGGCATAACAGACTAGGAAATAACAATTACATCCCAAGGACTGAGAAATTTTTTTTTTTTGTTACTTAGTGTTATTAATTTAATAGCAAGAATACATACTCTCTCAATCTTTTCTCTCCCTCTTTGCTAAAACCGATAATGGTTTTAATCTAATACTTGCTGTCATTGTTATATATAAACACCAAAATGCTATTAAAATTAAACTAAATTTTTTACTGTGTTTGCAAATGAGGTCCAAAAAAGACGGAAATGATTACAGCTGAAATTTCACAATTTTTCCACAAACATGGCTTTGACTCATTTAGAGCAAGAGATTTCCGGTAAAAAACTGAAAAAATGAGCTAACTTCGCCATTCGCGATACTAGTAGGCTGGTACAACCATTCAATTTTCAAATCGTTTTTGATGTCGCACCAGCAGCCGGTACAATCACACCACAAGTACACACACGGTCAATCGGCTGGCACCAACAGTTGATGTCGCCAGCATGCTAGTATCATCCATGGGCCCTTTATCACATTAAGCATATTTGGGTTTGTAAACTTATCTATTTTAAAGTACCTATAGTTAAATCGTTAATAGATAAGGATAAGGCTTCCTCAAGTGGGCACCGAAGCGCCGAGTTTTGTAGTCGAACAGTACATTGTGTAATTCCAAATAGTTTTTTTTAATCGACAATTGAAAATTTTTGCATTGTTTTGGAAACTCTTTTTTTTTAAAGTACATAAGTGTCCGACTGAAAACATTTTTTGGGTGCAGATTTAAGAAAGATTATACTATACAATGAAATTATTTGCGTAACAAAGATATTTTTTTTTTCTTTTCAATCAATTTTTTATGAAAAATTGAATTTTTAGCAATTTCTGCACCTCGTGGACGAAAATGTTTAACAACTACTTATGTAATAAACATTTCTGCATTTATCTACGAAAAAATGCGTGCATTTCGATATAGTTTGGTCGGAATGAATTTTTATGTGCCAGCGTGCGCACCCGACTACCGCGGGCATGCGAAATTCGAGCATGAGAAATAAAAGTGGAACGATTGAAACGTGCATTTCTTTCTTGCGAAAGAAGTCAACACGGATTGTGCGCGATCCAGCCATGCGAGTCGGGCCCGCACGCTGGCAAATAAAAATTCATTCCTGTATGGTTTAATGTTACTTAAATCTGTACCCAAAAAATTTTTTCAGTCGGACACTTCAAAGAAAAATAAGAATTTCCAAAACACTGCACAAATTTTCAATTGTTCATTAAAAAAAAACTGTTTGGAATTTTGCAACAAAAATTACACAGTGTACTGTTCGACTACAAAACTCGGGGCTGCCTGAATATCATTGAATAATATTAATGTTGGTAAATTCGGCGCCCACTTGAGGAAGCCTTACCCATAAGTTAATGGCCCTAGCACATTATTTTAGTTTGTATAAAAACGTAAGGAACATACAATACATATCCACACATACATATATATACATATGTATATCAGAGTCTTTCTTAGTTTCAAAATTCATCTCATACACAAATGAAAAAAAATGAGATCAAATTAAGCATATACAACTTGTTCATGTCAAGTATGTATAAATTTTCCAAAGGGCTAAAAAAGAGATAGGGGCAATTTTAAATTTATGCGGCCAAAAAAAGTATGTGGTAGCGAAATCTAGCCACCAAAGGGCTAAAACAGCAAAACTGGTTCTCCACACTCAAAGCAAAAACAAAGTACGTAATTTTTCAAAGAATTCAGGCGAATTGTGTGTGTGTCTCATGTGTTTCTTCGTTTTAATGGCGCTAGGGCTTTTCATATATTGGTGTTGACGCGGCAACTCCGGCTACGGTTTTAGGGCAGCTGCGTCGCGCAGTGCAGTGTTACTCATGCCTAAACACAATCAAGAACATAATTCGCGTCACATAAAACAAACAGATCGTGCACATTTTTTATAAATTACAGCAATATCGAAAACAAACAACGTAGTATAGACAGTCACACAATTTTTAAACAAATGTATAAAAACTGAAAATCTTTCCCAAACTCTGAATTTTTGTGGCAAACTCTGAGCCCCGACATTCGATTTCAGGGGGAAGAAGATATTTGTTCTCGATGATTTTAAAGATTTCGATGCATGGAATTCAAATTTCCGTTTATTTAATCACGTTAGGCTGTGCGTTATTTAATACACTTTTACCAAATCATTCCGGTTTTGCGGCAGACATATTTGGCAGTTCTACGCATAGCGCCAATCTGCTGTAAAGTACTTACATTCCATCAAATATTTTCTCCACTTCACTCCGTTGGGTAAGATTCTTGTACAAATTAAAAAAATCCTCAAAGTGGAACTTCGGCAGGGATAACGTTTCGAATTTCCCCGAAGGCAACCCGCTCATATCTAACGCTTTCTCAACACGCTTCCGATCCTCTTTGTTTTGTGCGAAAATTTTGATGATGCTGTAACCGAAAGATGTACAAAGGTAAAATACTTTTAGTATATAGATGTGTGTAAGTACAAACGTTAAGATAAAAATTAAGGTAAATATTTAACGATTAACCAGGACTAAACGAAAACCCAAAGATTTAATCTTTAACCAAAAATTAAAAGAAATATTCACTCACTTCCTCACAGGTATTTTGCCACTTTTGTCAACTTGCAGACAAAGTTTGGTATGTGCCTTTTGAAGAAATGTATTGGCGGACCCATTAAGCCGGGCTAAACTGTATGCCATTCGCATTATACCATCACACCATTGCTACGAAGAAAAAAAATAAATACATGGGTACATAAATAAATTGCAAGTATTTTTTTTTAGAAACATAAACGTGAACTAAAAGCTAAAAATAAATTGATGTGCCTTTTGTCCTACAAACCCAGAAGAAGGTTTAGTTATAATTACCAAGATTTGGTTATAGTGACCAAGTAGCATAGTTAGATATGGCGAAATAAATATCTAGTTCGCGAAAGTCTGCAATTTACTTGAGACCAAGGTTGCCGTTTTGAGCTTTTCCTACCAAATTTGGTAGGTTTCTTTCTCGTTGGTAGGATGGTAGGACGCTTAAAATTTTGGTAGATTTCTTTGCTTATAAAACAGAAAACATCTCTGGTTTGTTGTAGTGATTCACTTTGTTAGCACTGTGAGTAGGCTTGCCAAATTAGGACAATATCAGTTTTACCCTCATTATGTTTCTTGGATGGGTCCAACTTTGCCAAATACCTTAAAAAACTCGTTGCCATTTCACCAATTACCTTCGGTGATTCTCCGAACTCCGTATACGCAACAAAAAGTTGTATCCACTGGCTATCTAAAGGGATATCAAGGGATTGAACTGACGGACGTAAACGCAGGTTTATAAATCAGATATTTTTCTTTGAAATGCAGTGGCGAATCGATAATAGATTCAACATACTACATAACAAATGTACGTGTTTACAGAATATGTTATTTTTTAATATACACGAAAATTAAAAAGTAAACTTATTGGTTGTAGTAAATCGGAGGATCTCAAAGTTTTAACCGCAACTCGAAGAAATTTAATGGTTGCCGCGAATAACGTTGTAAGCGACTATTTTCTTAGAACTATATTCTTTAACTTTAAAGATATAAATGTACAATGTACATTGAACATAAATATTTTATACTTTAAGGGCAAGTTACTTTAATACTCCGGTACCGAAAAAGTAGAAAACCAAATAAAATGTGCTTATATATGTGCGTCATTAAACAAATTTTCTTTTTACTTCTGCAAAATTGTAATCTTGTCGTTTACAACCTTATTCGCGGCGACCATTCAATTTATGGCAAACCCGCAGCGCGTAGATTTTTCCTCCAGCCCGCGGCTCCTGGACCCGGACATTTGGCTAGCCTAACCGTGCGATTTTTCACGTCATTTACTCCGAACGCTTTATTAAAACTATAAACTATGCGAATTTTTTACCATTTTTTCGGTTTTTCGCAATTTATTCGAAACTTTGAGGGCGTACAAGTCAAACGGACCTCAGATTCGGGTTGAGAGGGTCGAATTACATGTCGGTACGTAGGTCTGGTTTAAAGCACACACCAACTTTTTTGTGTGCTATGTATATGCTAGCCATTATTGTGATCCTTTTGTTTACTGCCGTCAAACGCCGTTTTCTTAAATGGTGGGAAAGGAGGCATTTTGATAGGTTTTTGAACCCCCTCTTGGTAGGAAAGAAAGATTTTTAGTGGTAACCCTATGTGTAGATACTCGTATGCATGCGCGTTGAAGACAGCGTTGCCGAATTGACGACTTCGCCGTCATTTTGACGTTTTTTTAGCTCAGTGACGTTTTGACAATTTTGCCCCCCGTAATGACGGATTTTTATTTTAGTTTTTCCACCTAATAACATATGTATGTAAGTATGTACGTAAAAAGTTTTTTAAAGTAAAACTTAATCCAAAGTACAACCATGGATCTATCTAGTTTTGTTCTACAACCGTGCTGTTAGTTATATTAAATTGTTTCTAGAATTGTAACCAACTTGTTAATCTGCACTGTTGACACTGATTTGAAAGAGACAGAAATAAATTGAATAAAAAAACTTTTTAATATACCACGCTTTTACAAATAATATTTCTCAGTCCCATAGAATTTGTTTTGATAACTTTTTATTTTAAAATTTTAGCAGAATGGGATTGAAAACGATAAACGTAGAGCGCATGCAATATAAAGCATTCGATTTAATTGCCAATAGTCAAACTACATAACCTAGACCTAAAATTTCTACAGCGATAGTACAAATTTGATATCGATTTTAAGCGGTCTGTATTCATATACCCACATACATACATACATATAGTACTTTTCATATCAATTCAAGTCTATTAAGTGCGCCCCTCTCTTTTCATTTTCAATCCCATAAATTGTTTATAATGGCTTTTGCCATTTTTCTATTGTTTAGTCCATTTATTAAAGCTTGGTATATTAAAAAGTTTTTTTTTATTTAATTTATTTTTTTCTTTTTAGTCTTGTCTGTATACAATTTTGCAACAGATATTAAAATAATTTAGCTTGCAACGAAAAGAGAACAGAAGACTATTGCGAAAAATACACCACAAAAATATTTTCGCAAATACAAATTAGTACAAATAACATTCTTATTCGATTCCTATTTGTAAAAGTTGGTATTTGCGAAAATATTTGTGTGGTTTATTTTGTGCATATGCAAGCAAAATGTTTGCAATTAATTTCATTAAAAAAATGGCTTGTCGTCCATCTTCGCTGTAGCGTATATAGTGCATATTTTTAGGTGCAATATTTAACTACTTTCGGCAAGGCCTACCGTCGAGGTTGATGTCTAGACTTTTTTACAGGAACTTTGATTACAATCTGTAATTATAGCTGAAAATCTTGTCTGGACACACAACATTACAAGTTGATAAAAGCGTTGTAAAATAGCAGAGGGAATTTGTTCAGTCAAGATTATCTATCCGTTAATAAATGCTAATCTTACACTTTCAAGCCAGTGAAGTGATCAATTTAAAAGCAGTTGGGTTTTAAAGTGTAATTTAAAATTGTCGTTAACAATTACAAATCCACTTTTATTAACCCATATGCAATATGGGTTCCCTTTGGTTTTGAAATGTGTTGTCATATTTATTGTATGTAATTTATGTAATTTTTTTATATTTTTTATTTTGTTAAAAAAGTAAAGTAACCAAAAATTTTCCGTTTTTTTTGGCCGAAATTACCATTTTTCAGGGTAAAATGACGATGTTTCAGCAAAAGCTTTCGGCAACGCTGGTTGAAGATGTATGGGTAAATCGACTCAGCTCGACATTCTGATCATTTAAGTAAGCATTTTAATGGTTCTGTCTCTTCTTATTCTGGTACTTACAAACATCGGACCAAAGTTATAATACCATTTCATGCTCATGAAAGGTATAAATATCATTATTTATATTTACTGCACATGTCATTCATGCATAGAAATAACAATATTATAAACAATAACAAGGATTACAATTAACACTAAAAATAAATCACTGAACAAATAAATAACGCCATTCTAAGGGCCAGTTTTTTAATGCACGGCTATGGTTTAAACTTAGTTCAAACGCTCCAGCTGGCTGGTTTAACCTAAGATTACCAATCAAATGTCTGCAAAAAACATAACCGACTTCAATTGTCATATACAAAATTTTGGAGTACCGTTAATTTTTTCACGTTCCAATGATGAACTTTTAAACACCTGTCACTCAGTGCCACACTTAATTTGTTTTTTAATTAAGCCCATTTCCTGTAGATTACAATAATATATATTTTAGCTGAACATTTTTGCACGGTTATTTGATACACGCCCGCTACATGCCGAACCTGTAGCTAAATATATTTTTTTACAAGCTTTTATTTACTTTCACCTGTGTAATCAAATCTTGAAATCCATTTTAACCACCCTCCCGATGAGGTAGAGACTAGCAACTGCAAACTAAGCTCAGAACCTGATGACAATACAATATGAAAGATGAATTAATTAATTAACTAATATTGATAACGTGTATTCTGCGTTGAGCATTTTTGCACTACCACTGAATTGCACTATTCAGTGATAGTTAAAATGAGGAATTCATTTTCACTAAAAATGTTAATCACTTTTTTTTTTAACTAACAGGTAATTCATACATCTATCTGTTCCTTTTTAAAGAATGAAGTGTTTGAGTTCTGATACCTCCTGAGTGGTACAGAAGTGGAAGATTTAGAAAATGTAAATACTAGTGATATCGATTCGCGCGCCACATAAATATGTAAAAGGCTTCGACGGTTTTGGAAAGAGGCACTTAGGGTAAAAGAAATGTGAAAAGCAAGCATTCGAACTGGTTGGATGCGACAGAGGTTGTATTTTTACCAAAACATACTACCAGATTGCAGTCTGCATCACTAAAGCCATATCAATTAAAGCTTCAAAGTTTATACAAAATTTCGGAAAATTCAACAAATTTTCATCAAAACTTTTTTTAGGTTATGCAATTTTAGTATGATAAATAGCAAGCTTCAAGAGGTTGAAAATACACACACATCACTTACACCCCACATTACGACACGTCTCCCGAACCACATGAAGCTCCTTCAATTTAACTGCAACGGGCTACAGAGCAAGATTGAGGAGATAACCGTCTTCATGTGTCGGCATGGTATATTGACAGCTGCGGTCCAAGAGACGAAGTTGCACAGCAATTCAACTTTGTTGAATTTCGCCGGGTACAACGTGCACCGTCGAGATCGCGAGCGAGATAATGGTGGTGGCTTAGCGTTCATCACGCACCACACCGTGCAGTATCGTCTAATCGAAGCAGACATCGACCGCAGGGATACCACCCTAGAATGTCAGGGCACCGCTATCCGGTCAGGCGATGTTGAGCTCGAAATATTTAACATATACATACCCCCTGCCACCTGCTGCCCTGCAGGATATCACCCTGATATAGGTGCGCTCCTCAGAAGTGAAAACCGTATGGTAGTAGGTGACTTTAATGCGCACTATGATCTTTGGCACTCAAGCCTGTCAAACGATCGTAGGGGAACAGACTTGGCTGAGCAGATAGACGATTCGACATTTTGCACAATGAACGACGACGCACCCACCAGGATTATGGGTAACTGCAGTAGCTCGCCAGACATCACCATAGTCAGCGCTGGTCTGATAAACAGCATAACATGGCAACCTATGCTGACTTTAGCATCAGACCACCTACCCATAGTCATCTCGATAGATAAACCAACCGACTTTGCCTCC